TGTAAGTATTATTCTGCAACTTATTTTTTGTTCTCAATACTATGTTCCTTGGATTTAACCATGGTGTACACGTAGCTGAGGATCATTCATTTGTTCATCAGTTTGGAGTTTTAAGGTACAGCATAATTTATTTATCCAGTCTGCTTTAGTTTTATTCCATGTTTTGGTATGTAGCAATTTCATTATTGTTCAGGTCTAAATATATTTAAATATCAACTATGATTTGATTGACCCATGAGTTACTCAGAAATACATTTTTAAAAATTTTCAAGTACATCTAGATATTTTATTGTTTTTATCCCTGACATTTCTTTTTTCTTAGCATATAGTTCACAGATTCTAAGACGTGTAACATGCAGCACATGCATAATTTTAAAATCTCTAGTTGCCACATTAGAATCTAAAAATGAACAAGTAGAAATGAAATTTAAAAGTATATTTTACTTGACCGAATATATCCAAAATATTATTTAAATATGTAATCAGGGCTGGAGCTCAGTAGTAAAGCATCTGCCCTGCACATGCAAAGCCTCAAGTTCAATTTCTAGCACTGCAAAAAATAAAATAAAATAGTTGTATGCAATTTTAGTGTAATTAGAAAGTCCTAACTAGCCTTCTTCATAAATAAATATGTGGTCATCTTTAGAAGTTATTTTAGATATTTTAATATTTGTTGGTAGTGGTTGGTGTTTTGTTTTGTTTCCAGTCTGTATGTGAAACTAATGGCTAATGTATTAGATGATGCAGATTTACTTTCTAGTCAAGTCTGGAGTCAGTTTCATATGAACTGGAAAATAATTGTGTATTTTTCCACAACTTGTATAAAAAAGTCTATAGATGAACCTTACATCAATCATATTATTTGCACTAGATCTTCTATAATTTCACTGATTTTTTTCTTTGCTTGATCCTTGGTTGTTGCATTACATAGCTACAGGAGAACCATTTACAAAACAGTCTCGAATTGTGCAGTCTCCATTTCCATGACCTTACTTTGAGGTTATGGACAGACTTATCTATGACTGAGGAATCTCTATGCTGAATTTTATCACAATGGTGTGGACTTGACAGTTTTCTTCTATAGTTCTATAAAATTTTTTATTATATGTTTTGATCCCACTTTAATGGATTCATGTAAGTTTAGAATATTCATAGTAATTTAAACCTATTATCATCATCAGCCCACAATAATGACTTTTGTTTTAAAGGTGTGTTGCTTGATAAAAATCTAGTTACATTCTTCTTTTCCTTTAATATATCCCTGTTATATATTTTCAAATTTTTCTTTCATCTTTACATGTCCTAATGTTCTAGGAGTGATTTTTTTTTTAAAGAGCATATAACTAGGGTTGGTTTGTTGATACCATCTGTTTTTCTCTTCTAATTCCTTATTTTGATTATTATTTCAAGCTTTCTGTTCCCTCCCTCTTTTTCTGCACTGTTTTCTCACTTGCAGCCTTTCCAGAGGAGGATTGTTGTAGTTTGTGTATTTTCTTAATGCTTTTTCCCACAAGAGTGTATTTGATTTCTATTCTTTTAGTAGTTACTCTTGAAATTTTACCATGTATCTTTAATGAAGTCTAAAGTTAAACTCTTGAATAATACATGGACCAAAGAATACTTGAGTAGCTGTCCTCCTGATGTGGGTACTACATTTTTGTCCAGTTTTCTATTTCTTTTTGTTCATTCCTCCAAAACACATAACCAAAATTATTATTTTAAAGAGACAGTTTATAGTTATCTATGTACAAGATTGGCTACCTAATTTTCAGGACCCAAAATGAAAATATAAGATACTTTGTTAAAGAAGCTATTTGCTTTCTTTAATGGTTTCTGTCTCAACATGCCCTGATTGCTTTTGTCTGCTGTTTTGTCTTGCTCCTTTGGGCATGGATCTGTTACAGTAAAGACAGCAGCAGTCCCTGTGAGAAGGCAGGAGAGAGGGTAGCTAAGAACAGCCTGGGGAAGGTAAAGCAGCAGCAAAAGGTAAAATCATGTCAGAATCGATGCTCCAAGTCCTTAGCACATGCTTGACCAAGTCACTAGTCTTCAAAGTACAAATCCAAGGATAAAATTGTTAAGAAATTCAGGGCAGTGGCCACAAATCACAAAGCTTGAAGCACAGAGTCCTTGTCAGAACCTGAGCCTTGTACAACTGGCCTGACATACACTGAAAAAACTGTCCCTGCCTGTGTGTCTGATAGTGTCTCTGTGTACCATACCATTCCTTTTTGCATGTCTCTGACCTGAGATTGTATTACAGCCTATAATGCATGTTCATTAGAAGCTTCTTGTGGAGGATTAACTAATGGTCAACTTGTAACACCCCACTGGACTGAACCAGTGTGGAAGGCCCACCTCAGGACTGTTGCCAACAGCATGAAAAGGAGACCTGGAGGGAAAGATGGTGTGCCTTTGATTCTCCTGGGGAAGCTTGTCACTCGGGCTTTCCTGATAGGAACTTGGCTATTCTCATCACTGGAGGAGCTCTGGACCTCACTGTTGCTGAGGATGGATGGCTTTGGTTCTTTTTGTGGGTGCTCTGGTCCTTACCTTCAGTATCACTTCCTGGCTCCAGTGCAGATCTCTCAGCCTCCTGCCACAAATCCTTTACTCCGCTGGCGCAGATGGTTCTACCTTTCACCACTGGCCTTTGGGCCTTCCCAGTGCAGTTCCTTGATACAGACCTGCACGAAACATTGTTGTAGCTGGACTCAAGGAAGACACTGCCATGGGCTCTTAGGTCTTCGGGTGGATTCATGCAAGAATCACCTTGGGATCCAGACTCTCACCTGGATTCTTGGGGTGTCTAGTGTATGGACAGATCTCCTGTACTCCTTTGTCCTTATCTCTTTCAGTGAGTATTATAAAATAATTCTATAAATTATGTGTCCTGTATTAAATCTTTTCCCTTGTATTCCCTAACTGTAACACTCCTTTACTTAAGATCCTTGAGCCCCAGGGGTAACCCCTCAGTTTTTGTTCATCTGAGTATGTTTTTATTTCAGCTGATCCTGAAAGAGTTTCTCTTGGTAAACAAATTTATGTTCATGGCTATTTTCCCATAGGACTTTTAAGGATGTATGTCCTTATAGGACTTTTATTCCCCAGTTTTTTGTCATCCTTTGTTTTTGTTGAGAAAAAAATTAGTTTCCTTTGAAAATTTTCTCTTTAACTTCTTTTTAAGACATTCCCTTTAAACCTTGGTGTTTACCATTTTCACTATGAGATGCCCAGATGTGGGATTTATTTTTATTTATCTTGCTTGGAATCCAGTGAGTTCTCTGGATTTGAGGATAAACTGATATTTTTTGTTAGTCTGGGTCATTTCCTTCAAATGCTGCTACCTCCCCTTTCTCTTCTTTGCTTCTGAAATAGCGCGCACACACACACACACACACACACACACACACACACGATCTTTTCATTCTATCCTTTGTATTTTAACTTTTATATTTTCTGTGCTTTCAGATTAAATTCTGTACATTTTTGAATTTTCCTTTTATTGCTTAGTTTTTCAGCTATCAATTATCTGCTATACGACTACCCCTGAATTTTTAATCTCAGTTATTGTATTTTTTCATTACTACAAGTTCAGTTTGGTTCTTAGATTTCATTGGCCCTTTAAGTCAGTCTTCTGTTTCTTGTAACATTTTGAAAATCTTAATATTCTCTTTGAAAATTCGTCATCTTTGAAATTTGTAGTTTTATTGTAGTGGCATCTGTGTACTCTTCCTTTGATTGCCACTAGTCTTTATGTTGATTTTGTATCCTGAAACTTTGATAAACTTGTTGTTAGGCCTAAGAGTTTTTTCCTGGTAGAGTCTTTGGGTTTTTTATGTATAAGATTGTGTCATCTGCAAGCAGTAACAGTTTGACTTCCTTTTTTTCAATTAGGATACCCTTTATTTCTTTCTCTTATCTGATTGTTCCTGGAAGGATTTCCAATACTTCAATGAAGAAAAGTGGTAAAGGCAGGTGTCTTATGCTTGTTTCAGATTTTAGAGAGAAAGAATTCAGATTTTTTTATGGTCATTGTAATATTAGGCATTGGCTTATTACAGATGATCTTTATTATGTTGGAGCAGATTCTATACCTAATTTGTTCAGTGTTTTTATCAGGAAGAGGTGTTAATTTTTTCAGATGCTTTTTCTACATCTATGAAAATGATCACATAGTTTTTGTCCTGCATTCAGTTAATCCAATGTCATATTGATTGATTTGCATATGTGGAACAATCCTGTATCCCTACTTGAATCCTACTTACTCTTAGGGAGTAATCCTTTCATGTGCTATTAGACTCAGTTTGTCAGTATTTTGGTGAAGAATTTTATATTTATGTTTACCAAGCATAGTAGCCTGTAGCAGTCTTTCTTTGTTTTTAAATGTCCTTGTCTGATTTTAGTATCAGGATAATGCTGGTCGTATAAGAACATATTTGGAAGAATGCCCTCCTCTTTTGTTTTTTGGAATAATTTAAGAAGAGTTGGTACAAATTTTTTTAGTTTTGTTTGTTTGTTGGTTTGTTTTACTGTTTGGAAGAATTCAGCAATGAAACCATCTGATTCCTGGCTTTTATTAGATAGGAGACTTTTAATTACTGATCTTATCTTGTTACTTGTTCTTTTCTAATTTCTAATATATTTTGTACTACATCTCATTTCTGATAATACCTCTTACTTAATTGAGTTTGTTCTGATTAGTATAGCAGATCAATAGAAGAAGAGTAAATTTAGCAGAAACCGTTCACATTTATTGACTCTATGACGTATCTCAATATATTTTCTTTTCTTAGAAACAAAATATTTGGAGTTTTGATTTAGTCATAAACCTTTTGAAGAACAACTTATAATATTTTATTCTATTTGTGACTCCACATATGCTGTTATTGTGTCTTGAAAAAATAATAACATTAAATAAGAGAAAACAGGTGAAAAATATTTTTAGGAAGAGTATTAGGGATGAGTTTAGTCTCATTTGTTGGGTTTGTGATTTTTAGGGAAATGATGCTGATTTCACATCAGAAAAGCATTGAGCAGCTGCGGGAAACCCTAAGACAGAAGCTGCTGAACGATGATAACTGGAGGGAGAAGGTAACAGTGTATGATTCCCATCAGCGTGTGTCTTGTTTGTTTTTTTAAAATTCAGTTTGTTAGAAGACTATTCCAAATAGATTTCTTGGCTTCTGTGCACACTTTCAATTTCCTCCAAAATTTCCAACACCAAACACACTTGTTATATGTGTGTTTTCTAAAATATTAGACAACATAATGAGAATTAGAAAATAAGAACAGATTTCAAAATCTTGTAAACTTAAAGACAGTCCTTGGTTCTCATGCAGAAGCAAGATTTTTACTTTTAAATATTTACTTTTTCTCAAATGTCAGGTCTGGCAGTTGATCATATTCTTTTTTTAATTTTTGTGTTTATTAGTACATGGTTGTCTGGTATGATTACATTCATCATGGGGAGTTGACATAAGTACATAACACCTCTTAATTCCTTTTATATCCCCTTGCCTGCCCCTCTTCCCTGTTTGAAACAGAGAAATTTAATTCTTATAAATTCTGTGCTTCTCTCACAAGGAGTTAACGTAAGAGAGTAGAAAATCACTTAAAATTATTCTTATAAAATTTTGACATGTTTACCCTGGCAAAGTAAAACAAAGAAATACTTAATGATACTATTTATAAAGAAGTGTTTGCTCTTTGAGTACAGAAAAAAACTGTTGTTTGGGTTTTTCTATATTTTTATGTTTTAGTAATGAATATGTTTAACTTTACAATTTTAAATAATATAAGTAATTTTTTTTCAATTGCTAGTCCTTACCTGCTCAGGTCATACACAGGGCTGGTCACTGAAGTCTATCACATCCCTCCTGTACCTAATTACTAAGCCAAAGCATTCCCCACTATTCTCTTCCTCAATTTGTGTCTGTGTCTAGCACTGACCTCTGCCTGTTTTGCTGTGTTTTGTGGTGCAGGTGATTAAACACAAGGACTTGCACATGCTAAGCCAGGCAATGCAGCACTGAGCTATACCTCTGGCCCAGGGTTTTCTTATTATTTTAAATATTTTTTCTAGAATTGGAGCTGACCATTGAAATTTAGTATTTTAGAAATCCTGCCAGCTTGTTTAGTTATTATCAGATATATGTCCTTGGGAACTGTATCCTGTAATTTATATCCTCAAGCAATATCCAGTGGCCACCTTCAAAGTAGCAATCTCCTATAGAACCACCTACCCCACCCTGCCATCCCAACATATCAAAGCCCTTAGGTACTCTGGCTGGCTCACATCAGCCCTACATCTGCCACTTTTATCATGTTTTCAAATGTACTCAGCTAGGAGGGCATAATAACAAACCGAGCTAGGACTCCTCCTTACGATTCAATACCTCTTTTTCTTCTTCTGTGTGGTATAGTCAGCCTCTCCTAAAATGATCACATAAAAACAGTTTTATAGAGGTGAAAAAAAAATGTGAGAATATGAACCAAAGTTGCTGTGAGCGTCACTCTTACCTTGTTTGGCGCGCAGGCCTTTTCCTTCTTTGAGTCTCACACATCTTCAACTCGTGTGATTTTGAGCCCGTGTTACTGCACTTGCTTGGCCAGTTCTTGTTCTCTTCCTCTGTCCTTACCAATTTATGTTACTGAATTAAAAAAAATAGACTAAAATATACAAAATAAAATTAGAGGCTCTCTTGAACCTTCCAATTGATAGAATTGTTTGGACCTTATGATGAAGCTCCAGTAAAAGAACTTTAAGGGACTGGAAATTAAAACCGTATATAAGAGATACTGTAAATGTCCCGTTGCTTGATTCAGAAATTTCTCTAATGAAATTAGCATAGATGCAGTTTTGGCGTTCCTTTCCTTTCCTCCCTCCTAAACTCCTTCTCTAGACTGATGGAGTCAACTTCCTGCCTGCGCACCAGTAGAGGTTCCGCGTCTCGGTAGTCATGTTCCACGGGTGGTTTTCAGCTGCGTTTCATTAGAGAAGCGGGTCTGTGCTATGACCCACTCTGGCACTTCTGCTGCCTGCTGCCTAATCCCGAGGTGCTGCTACACACAGAGTAAATCAAGTCAGTGTTAGCATTCCTCTAGTCCCACAAAAGCATTTATGTTCTTACTTTAAGCTCAGTTTTTTTGCCAGTGAAAATAATCCTGTGTAATATTTTCAAAACTCTAAGACCATCTCTTACTAATGTATTAATTATATCACAGTTGGCTTGGCATATACAATTTTTAGAGTGTAAACAGACATTTTATTTTGCTGAAAGGATACAACTTCTGGTTAATAAATGTTATCATTTAACTACCAGTAAATCAAGAACCAGGCAGGTAAAGCCAGGAAATGGTAATTATGTCTTAGCCATGTTAGCTGAGACTATTTAAAGTTCCTTAAAAGTCCTCTCAGAAGAAAGGAGAATCACTAATATGACATTGTCATTTCTTTCTTGGGTCACTGTGCCTTTGCATAAGGAATGAAATGTTCTCTTTATAAATATATAATACACATATTAGAATAAACTTCATGACTTAAATGCTTTCAACATTCTGAAAAAGTAGTTAGCAATTTGTGCTTAATTATTTCAGAGTATGTAAAAAGCACATAACAGGATCAATTGTTGCTATGCAACAAGGATGGCACATTTTAAAATAACTATGTTTACTAATTGTCATGGATTTTTATTTATTTCAAGTATTGCTTTGATCCAAGAAAGCAAATTAATGTGCATGCTGCACCTTTAAAATTGGTTCCAAACACACAATGTTGTTACTATTCAGTTAAAATTTTGTAATTAAAAAATATTCTTTAACAGGACTGCTTACATAACCAATTCACATCTTTTACTGACTGTAACGTTTTAGTAAAGCAAATTCAAACCAAATATTTTCTTAGATTATCATCAAGATATTACATTGGAGAACTACATTATTGACTTCATTTTAAATAATGTATAAAACTTTGAAAACAAAACTTTACTTCCTGGCTAGAGTAACTGTACTGATAGTGAAAATGAAGGAGAGTTTACTTCAATAAATAGTAAAAAGAAATGACTGAGAAAAAGAAGTAGTAGATTCTTATTTTTATAGGGAAGCAAAAAAAAAAAAAAATCATGCTGTTTCAAATGACCTAACAATTCGTAAGGTGGTAAAAGACACTATTAATGAAATGAAGCATCATGTGAAAGACAAAATATAACAAATATGAAGTTACTTATAGATATTATACATAATAGACGGCTAAAGAGAATATTTAGGGCACGCTTTTTTATGATTATGTTACATAATTTTAACAATTGAATTCATAAAATCCCAAAATTTTAGTTCTGAAATCATTACAAAGATTAGCTGATATAGACCATTAATCTAGGTAATACAAAAGTCTCTATTATTATAGTATTTACTACATGCTAGACTTAATGCCAAATGCTTTCTACAAATGTAAATTTAACCACTGTAAAATTACTGTTTCCATTTTGCACATGAAATTAAAAAAGTAAATTTGGAGAAGTTAGGTAATTTGCCAAGGTTATAGAGCCAGGAAATAAACTGAGAATTAACCTCCCTATATCTAAATAAAAAATCCGGAACTTGCTCATTTCTCCAAAATGTAATAACAAGTACCACATTTATTCTTCCACCAGAAACAAAACACTAGACAGAAGACAGAAAACAGGGGTCACAAGGCATAAAGAACAAGAGACAAATCGAGTGAGCCTCTTATAATTGTTATAACTTAGTACCTTGAAAGAAATTTCAGGCCATGATTCAAGGAAGGGGAAATCCAGGTTGAATTTGGCAGATTCTCAGACTTGAGGAGACCTTACTGAGGGTCAAGGTAGATCAAAGGAGCTGTAGTTCACAAGACAGTGTTTGAAGAAGAGAAATTTCTAGGCACAGAAAGAAACAGGAAATATAGTGAATGGGATGGGGTTGAGGTTAGGGAACAATGAATAAAAATTGACCAGAAAGGCATAGATGTTAAGATTGTAAGACAAATTTTAAAGCAGTTACGATGACTATATTCAGTGTGTCCTAAAATCAAAGAAAAAGTCAACCACATTAAGAAATAGAAATATCTAAAAGATGAAAATTGAATTTTTAAAGATGTTAACTTCAATATCTGAAATGAAAACTATACTGGTTAGATTTTTTTTAAAAAGAACATTAGTGAGCTGTGAGTCAAAGTTCAAGTGGCCTAATATGTGTACCCTAAAACTCATGAAGGACAGAAAAAATGTGACAGAAAAAAAGTTGAAAGGGCTGAGCATTTAGCAGTCTGAGCACCTGCCTGGTAAGCACAAGGTCGTGAGTTCAATCCCTGGTACCTCTCCCCCAACAAAATTCTCTTTACCCAGGCGTGGTGGCACACTCCTGTAATACAAGAACTTGAAAGGCTGAGGCAGGCAGATCATTGCAGACTTGAGACCAGCCTGGGCTACAAAGTGAGCCCAAGGCTAGCCTGAATTGCATAGTGAGAGCTTACCTCAAAAAGACAAAAAAAAAATTTGAAGAAATGATGACCAATATTCAATAAAATAAATTTTAAAAGCCTACACACCCACAGATTCAAGAATCTCAAAGAGTTTCCAGCATAAGAAACTAACCACATCAATGGGCATCATAATCCAATTGCTCAAAAACAGTAATGAAAAGAAAAATTTAAAAACAGAAAAAAATAATACCATAGATGGAGAAGCAAAGATAATGATGACAATGTAATTTTCATCAGAAACACTGTAAGCCCAAATTATGGTGGGCATTGTAAATATTGAAAGGTGTTGGCTGGTAGCAGAGAGATGGTAAACTGTTAACCAGGAATGCTATACTAAGTGAAAATATCTTTCAGATATGAAGTTAGAGACTTTTTCAAAAGAATCAAAAATTTATCACTAACGATCAATAGTATAACATGCTAAAGAAGTCATTTAGTCACCTGATGGAAGGTATGGTTCTATAGAAAGATGTGTAGAACACCAGATAGTAACAATGTGGGTAAATTTATAATTTTTTAACATTTAAATTTCTTTAAAATATACAAAAATGATGTATTATAGGATTTGTAACATACAGAAGCAAAGTAT